TAGTGGTCCAATATGACTGACATTGCGAAGAGGCGCTCAGTAACCCAGTGCTCAATTGCAAGTGACAGCAAGACATGTTGACTGCGCCACTGTAATGTTAGTAGAATGCGGATAGCCCTACTGCTGTTCAAATGAATAACCTCCTTATTGCAACTGATGGCTTCACAACCTGGCCATGGCAATTGAACATTACTGCTTGATTTCTTTTGCGGCTGCCTCTCACGCCGACGTTCGGGCTGCCTGTCGGCGCCAGAGGCACTCTGATGCTGGCTGCGTCTCGGCGCCAGTCTTGCAGGGTCAGCCTCTCAGCGCCACACTGCTCGTGAAGATGAGGTCTGGCCTCAGAGAGCCAGCAATGTGGAATGTGAGACATCTACCAGCAGATCACAGGGATCGGACCACCAAATTCGGTTGTCGAGGCCTCAGAGTGAAGCAACGCTGGTGTGAGCTGCATAGCAACCCAGCTTAAGGCTCAGGCACGGCAGTGTTCGTCGGGCCCTTGGAATGTTGAGTATTTCTGACTGATTCGGGCTGCTGATTGACTCAGATTAAAGGCGCGCGTCAGTGGCATTCTGATGCTGGCTGCCTCTCGGCGCCAGTCTTGCCTGGCTGCCTCTCGGCGCCAGTTGATGCTGGCGCCAAGAGGCAGTCTTGCCTGGCTGCCTCTTGGCGCCAGTTGATGCTGGCTGCCTCTCGGCGCCTGCATGGCTGCCTCTCGGCGCTCTTCCCCACGCCCTCCTTGCGGCGCCAAGACGCAGCACCAGCATCCCACACCTCCTGGCAGCGAGGATGGGTAGGCTGCACGTTTGAAGCTGTGACCTTTTCAGTCCTTCTGCCAGGCGCAGCTGACAGATTCTATGATGACCTTGGCAAACAGAGGGGCCAGTTCACGCCTTGTCCCTTCCACTCGGACACATGGTCTTGGGTCACGGCCGTGGATGTCCACCTCCAAAGTTCCTGGCAGGTGTTTCAAACATTCCATTCAGCTCAGTGCGGGAACAACAAATCTTGGTGAAGCGCGCAACCAAGCCTGGACGAGTCGGTCTGAACTCAGCAACGCAACGGCGCGGCAAAGGCATGGATTTGAATGCGCAATGGAGGTTTGATGTTCGAATCCCAAAACACATTGAAGTGACTCACTCAGAGTTTTTGCCACGCTGACACTGCTGCTGCGCTTCTGCTCGTGACATCGCGCAGCGTGAAACTCTGACATAAGCTGGAATGGCTCGGCCTGATCTGGGGCCTAATAATAGACTTGGCTCGCTTAGCATTGCTGAACATTTTAGGCAAACTAACCTCCGACTCCATAGCTATCTGCTAAACCCAGTGAGCCCCTTTCCAGCTACCAAAAGAGGCGCCTCAAGCCTCACATTCACCTAGCAAAATGGCAGTCGGCCAGGCCAAGTGAAGGCGGCAGCCTTGCTTAATTAACCTCGATCATAGAACTACATGTCAGAACAGCAGCGGGACAAGACACCTTTAATGATTGTAATTTTGACTATTATTTGAATGATCTCTGCTGACATCTCACGACAATAAGCAGAACAGACGCAGGGCGGGAGCTTTACAGCTCTTTGCAACATTCGGTCAAAGCAGCTGGCACCTGAAATACTTCTGTCATCAGGAATCATTGAGTTGCTTCTTCCCACAGCTGCTTCGGCCTATCACATCTGGAGGCCGCTCACCGCTTCGCTCGAGCCTGTCGCAAGGGCCGGTCTTCAAATTTAAAAAGTAAAAGTCAACATGTTCCAGGGGAATCTCTCAACACAGAAACACTGACACATCATGAAACGCTTGCCTCTGAGGCCTGGGGGCTTGACAAGTTTCAGGGTCAGGCTCGGCCGTGATGATGTAATTAGTTATTGTTGCTGGGTCCAGCAGGACACTGCAGGGCAGGGTGGCAGCCATGCATTCCAATGTCTGCTAGTGGGCTACTTAGTTATTACTCTATCCGGGCCCAGGAGCAAGGCTTTTGGGGAGTATCAGCTGGCTATGTTCGATCAATTAGTTAGAGTTAAACTGTTGCGCCCACTACTTTATTAAGGCTGGCCTCTCTCCTCTCTGGCTCCTTGTCAATCCGCTCGCTTCGGACTTTGCAGCTTCGGGCCTCCTCATCCTAGAGCGCCTCCTCTGCATTTCGAGCACCCAGGCGCAGCTCTTCATTCTCGATCCTCTTGATCGTGCTCGGCCCTCAAAGTTGCCAATCGGCCTTCAGCTGACTCCTTGTTGCGCAGGGCAACCTTGGCCTGCGATTCGGCCAGCACAGCACGAGAGGCGGCTGCCATGGCCTTCTTGCTCACTAGGTCTCGGTCTTCCATGAGCTCCTTGGCAAAGCGGACAGCTCGGTCTCGCTCGAGCGTCTGCTTGTTCTCCTCGGCCCTGAGTCTGTCAGCCTCAGCTTCGACCTGCATCCTGAGATTGTGGTTGACGACACCATACTCCTCAAGTCGAGCCATCTCAAAGGTGGCTCGAGCGGACATAACTCTGAGGACGCTGTCTTGCGCTTCACGGGTCTCCTCGGACTGCGCCAGTGCTCCTTCCAGGCGCTCGTTTTCGGCCTCTCGAGCATATATACATTTCCTCTTCCAGTCGCCTTGAGCCCGATCGGCCTTTCGCTTGTAGGCGGCAGGGGTCTTGCCTTCCAAGATTCTGCCCAAGCAAATTATCAAACACAAGCTTAACTATTATTTATTAAAAACAAGAAGGCAGCAACAAATGACAAATGAAGTCCAAGTGACGCTTGCCCCAATATTTTCGGGCTGATTCATTATCAGGGCCAGCACCAGCCCTCCCCTCGAGCCATAGTTGTCGGCCGGCGGAGGGCTGCGCGCATCACCTTTCTGCAGTAGGCTACTCTTGCTATGACACAGTATTATTCAATAAATAATCTTAGGGGTTGACTTGCCAATTGTTTTCCACTTGCTTGCCATTCCTGCCTTCATCATCGGCCTCCGTGCCCGAGGCCTTGCCCTGGCCCTTCTTGGCGCGCTTGTTCGGCCTCTTAGTCTTGTCCGGCACAGGCTCACCACGTCCTCCTGCAGGCAGCCAAGAATTTGACAAGTAGTTTCAAACAATTATTGCAGCCTGCTACTTTGAAAACCCTGCGCGCCCTGTCCTTTCGAGCCGTGTGCGCCGCGACCAGAATCAGCGCCCTCACGCTTTCGGCCGCCGCTCTTGCCCACGCCAGCGCCCGTGGCTGGCTTCTTCTTTATTAAAGAATATCGGGCTAGAACTGAATCTGAAGTAGGTCTGTGGGCTGTTGGATTTCGAGGCTAGGGTGTAGATGAGGTGGCGCAGAACTATCCTCTGCCTGAAATGGGCTAAGTTAAGTCACTAGCTGCTACGCTACTTAGAGTCAAGCCCCAAATGGGCTGGGGAATGGTCGCTGGTTCACTAGGCTGGTTAGACAGGAAGCTGTAACACTGGTTACAAAGCTGACTGCCTAGACTCATAACTTATAACTCGAAAAGACCCACATCAGCTTAGTGATTGAAACACTGGCATGCCATACTGGCACATTTATTAAATGAACTACTGCCTGAGCCAAGTGCTGAAATGTTCGCCTTCTGTGCTCATGGTCTGAGTTCCAGGCTCAGTGAGCATCTTAATGGCAACATCGAGCATGAGTTCACACATGGTCAGGCCATGGCGCAGAGGTGTTGGGGCTGGCGTGGTGCATCAGACACTTGACTGATTCAGACTGAGAGTGTGACTAGTGGGCTCAGTGAGCATCTCCACGACAACATCGGGCACGATTCGGCGCATTGCCAGGCCTTGGGCGCAGAGGTAATGCTGGGGGCTGGTGTGGTGCATCAGACTCAGACACTTAACTGACAGAGTCTGAGTGGCTGGCAGCACCCGCGGTCAAACTCGGCTCACGGGCAGGGGTTGCAAAAGGGTCGGGTCAGGCCATGCATCTAGCCAGCGAAAGTTTCGAGATCAAAAAGGCCCATGACGAGGAAATAATATTATTGTCGAGCACCAGGCGTGGCAGGGAAGCATGGATTCACTCACTGTCACACACCCTAAGGCCAAACCCTCCAGCTTGCGCCCCAAGAGAAAATGAACACAAGCGCAACTCCCGGAAATGATGTTCTTGTTAAGTCAAGTTTAAGCCTTGGCCCTCCAAACTCACAGTCTAGGCTGGACAAATCCATAGCAGGCTGAGGATATGGCTGTGCGCTCGGCCCGTCTCGGACTGGGCGACCTTTAGTGGGGTTTAGGGTGTGGGGTTAGGGGCTGCCTTTCGGCGCCGTCTTTCG